ACACCCATAACAACACTTCGATTGAGTCTGAAAAAAAACGTGGTATAAGCCCGATCAAAAGTTAGAAATAGTCATAGAGAGCTATTTTCAGGCATTCAAAGACTCTACAGCCCTAAATTGCTTGACGTAGCCACACATAGGCCTATATACCTCCACATAACATTACATTTTCATACAATTGAGCTGATACAGCCCTACAGAGAGCCCTACATCTTTCTGATAGCAACACAATAATAATGAATCGAGGAAATGATAAAACAAAACAAAACAAAACATAGTCCTTAATAAACTCATATAACCATATACAGTTGTATAACCAAACTTTAAGCTTGGTTACATTTCAAAAAATAACTTTAGAGTACATTGTCATTCAAAACCTTACAAAGTCCTACAGGACGATACGTAATTAGATATTCCCTATTGTTTTACATAGTCCTACACCACATATATTTAATTACATATATAGGTTATTGACTAAGGGTAAGATCAAGAGGGTTGGATATTAGCGAAGTTCTTTGTTCGTCGAGGCCGGAAAATCGCACAGGCTTCGTCGTAGAGAACAATGATCCTGAGGATGCAGCAAGCAAGTTTTTCCTGTCTTACGTAATTCATAACAAGTCAATAAACTGTATACAAACAACAAAAGAAAATAATTAGTATCTTAACTACAACCCCACAAATTTTAGCGTAACTCCAGCACCGTCCATAAATTTTCTTTTCATGCTAAGTGAAGAAGTTCTTTTCCTTCTCGATTTGCCTAATAACTAAATATTTCTTCTTCATGCAGTGCATGCTAACTCGTGCTTGATCGTACAATGTGATATTGTGTCGACATTTCTTCCTTCCTTCAAGTTTTTGAGAAGTATAACTCGCTCTCGAAAAACCCAGATCAAGTGTTTATTCATTCTTTTAGAATTTTGACTGCAAAAAAAAAACAACAACAACGAACGAACAAACAAACAAAAAAAAACAGAAACGGCAACCTGCAATCCCGGCTTGAATACAGACACAGCCCTCAGGGGTCCATATGAGCCAGAAGCGCTGAGGCGAGTTACAGGCCCGACCAGAGATCAACCACCCTATTCCGACACTCCATCCAGACTCATGTTTCCAGTGGATTGTCGCATGGTACTCATGATACCTGCGTGCTGTGTCCAACAGGATAGGTTCTGAATTACGCGGCACAGAAGGCCTAGTCGACTTCTCGACTGCAATCACTCCTCTGGACGTGAAAGTAAAACAAGCACTAAGAGGAGCGCGCGAAACCCTCCACCCAGCTTAGGAATGCGTGATTGCCGTCTGCGATCATTCCGATTTCAAAGTGGCCGTTTCATTAGGTCATTTTAGCACTGATCTCGGATTTTTTCCAGAAACAAGTCGATACCTATGTTATATATTTACTTATCGTTACCAGAATTGTTCATAGCCGGGTTGTTCTCCAGCAAATCTTTTCCGCTTGCCTTCCCACTTGAAGGTTCTCTCAAATTTCCTGTTTCCTTGCATTCCGATCTCTTCGAGACATTTCTCCGCCCAGGAATCACTCCAGATTTTCCATAGAATGGATTCTTGTAAGTCACAGCTGCACCAAGCTCATGATCAGTAGACTGCTGCGACACCAATATACATGTGATGTACGTACTACATAGTAATCAGCGCTTCAAGGGCTAATCTAGAGAAAAGTAGGAGTTTAGATTAATAATTCACAAAGGAAAACTAAGTTTAACAGTTTTATAATTACATGTTGCCTTCGGTATCTTCAGTCGTGTCTTACCACAAAGAGTTTTTTTATGAAAAATAAAACATGTTTACGAAAAGTGTAAGGGCAAATGTGTGAGAGTCATCTCCTCGGATAAAGTAACTGCTTTCCATACATTCGATTTCTAATTCAAGCATTTTGATATAATTTTCAGGTCCGATGGTATTAAGGTTTTTCTAGGAAAATTAACCATCGAATTTTTGCTGGCACACTGAATTGTTGTTGAGCCCGAAAGTCACTAAGATTGTTTAGCCTCATTTAAAATATCACACGAGCAGTACAATGTCCAGAAATGGTACTAGTACAAAGTTCAATCTATTTGCTGATTATGTAGAATGAGAAACTCTTACTTACCTCTAAGAAGGCTTTCCATTGTCCTGCCTCTCTTATCTGTCTCCGCATATTTCAACATTGTGACTGTATCTAAATGTCTCACCGGTGAAGAAGGAATTATAATGCGGATTAGATCCGTTCAGGACCGTTTATCCCGTTTGTCGGTTGCCACTAAGGATTAGCACAGCACAATTCTGAAATGTCCTAAATTGTGGGTACCACAGAGCCCAGCAATGCTTGAATCAAACCGTTTGAAGGAACGTTACCATCTTGTCAAGCGAGCTTTCAGTCTCATGGCTTCATGAAACTTGTTCACGTGAAATGGCGATCTTGCTCAATGTCTCAGAACAAAACTCGCTGTATCCTTTTAAAGCTTCGTTCGCGTTGGTGAAAGTCAGCAAACTTGACGCGAAGTGGATACAGCTCAAACTGAACTAAACGTCGGTTGAGAAAATTTGAAAATGAAATTTGGCTAAGGTGCGCATGGACAAAGGAAACTGCGTCGTTAATTTTGAATTTCATTATCAAATGTGTGAATTTCTTGCGCATATCAAGGAATTAATAATAAGTTTTGTAAAGTATCAAATCAGGGCATTTAAGTTTTCATTGCATCTTTTGCATAACAGGTAAAGTAATACTTTAGAGACTAGGATTGTCTCTTAATTCCCTTGGCGTTAGTTTTAAAAATATACTGGTGCATTTTTTCACCTCGCTTTTGGCCGCATCGCATTATGTTGGTTTTCCCGCGCTTAAAAGTGCGGGAAAACGGGAGTTGAAGCCGTGGCGTTGCCACTAAAGTCCAGCAGCCAAACGCAGATTTTTAGCATTACCTTGCAAGTACTTCCATACAAAGTTTTTTGGCAAATAATTATAGTACTATGAAGGGTCTTTCATAATCCGTCTGATGCCACCTCGCGAGCAGGGAGTCTTTTAGTGGATCTGGGCTCCCTGTGGTTTAACTCGGTCAATCTCTCAGTGCTTGGTCTTTGATTCATTTTGCACCGTTCTGCAGACTTTTTTTGCAAATTCATGTTTTTTGCTGCATCGTGCAATTTATCCATCGCGTATGGCATTAAAAATCTTTTAAAAAAATCCAAGTTTAACCATTTTATCCATGGACTAGGGACTAGTACACAGGTCACCCGGTCATTTAAAAGATGACTGCCTTCACTTCACTGTCATGACTGTAAGTATTTCGATAAAATTTGTCCTATCAGAAGCTTATAACCTAGACTAGGTGATATTCTTCTGGCCATCATGAACAAAATGTCTATGTCCACACGGCCGTGCGTATGTAAGATAAAGTGTACAGTTTCAATTTAGCTGCAAAATTTCCGCCGAGTTTAGTACAAGTGAAGATTATTCTGAACAATCCAAACTACCTCTTCGAACCTTTGACTTTTGCAAAGCTAAGATGTTTACTTAAACGTGAGTATTTTGACTTTGTTGGTCTACATTTTCATCGAGTATTTTTGACTTCGTCTGCCTACATTTTCATTATAATTAATTCGAAGAAGCGTATTTTTCATTGACAATCTTAGAAACCATGTTAAGCGTTTTCGCTCAACCGTTGCTCAACTGATTGTGGCGTGTTAGGATCCTAATGACCTTTGTTTTTCTTCACCGTGCATTGTGAGATCTTTGTAGTCAATCACAAATAAAACATGTTTTAGCGCGCAAGTTGTTGTCGCCATGTTATAAAAGAATTGGTTCATGCTTTTAGCAGTGCGGATATCGAGTTATGGATGCACTTGGGAAGTTTGGAGAGCACTCAAGAAGCTAGAGTTACTCTCGGCTGTCGCCTCGAGCACCTCTTACGCTTCTTTCGTGCTTTCCAAACTTCCCGCGTGCATCCATTACTCGATATACGCACGCTAAGCATGAACCAATTCTTAAATGCACAACCGTCGAATATTTGCAACTGAAGATAACATACATAGGAATATCGAAACATGGTTTGTAAAATGAAAAATGTCCCATCTGTAGTAATGGCACGAAGCGTCCGCTTTTTATAATCCCTTCAACAGTTAATGAACCTTAATCGACTCCAAGTGCTAATAAGCTCAGTGTTTACCCTTGGTAAAGCACCTGTCCATTAAACAAAAGTGATATGTTGGCTTTAGCAGTACAAGCTTTACCCTGGTTAACCATTCTCGAATTTCAACATGTAAGGTTAAATGCCTACTGTTCACGGTGCTCCCTTTTTTCTGCCACCTCCCCCCCGCCTCCCCACCTAAGGCAGTATTTCGATTACATATATCTCATTAGCTGTTTTGGTGTGTAGTATATTTTTACGAGTTGTGCCGTATTTTGACGAGCCCGTAGGGCGAGTCAAAATACAAACAACGGGTAAAAATATAAAGCGATACTACACAGCAAAACATCTAAAAAGAGATTTATTATCCAACTGCTGTAGTCAATAAATTTATCAATGAAAGAGAGAGTGTGTGAGTTTTTCGTGCGCGCGCCGACCTGTACGGCAAATAGGTTTTCTACTGTACAAATAACTGTACAATATCGCTGTATATTTGTACTGTTATGCTTTTACTTTTTATTTAAGTGTCGATGTATTTAGCACTAATGTGGTAATTGGGGACACTGTAAATAAATAAACAAATATTTCAAATATAACATAAACTATTAAGAATCCCAACTGGTGGGAGGCTGACCAGTTGGCTATTTACACAACGCGGTCGAGGAGTTGAACTCGTGGCTACCGAGAACAAATCCAGATAGCGGTAGGGCGGAGGATTTGAACCAGGGACCTCCAGATTTCAAATCCAGCGCCCTAAACCACTCGGCCACGCCGCCTCCCTTGGACGGTATTCGCAGCAGTTGGGTAATAAATCACCATACAGGATTAGGTAAAACAAACATAAGACGGCGGGCAAGAAAAAGTACAACAAATGAATGTTTTCGACAGGGATGTCACTGAGCATGAAAATGTGTATGTTCTGCGAGATGTTATGTACAAGTTCTGTTTCCACGTTATCCACAACAAAAAGCGTCTTTGTACGGAGTTCTCACATAACTTATACTGTTTGCTTCTAAAAATTCCATTGTTTTCAGAAACCGGGCAAAACAACAGGCAGAGTTAACAACGCCTACTTATTGAGTCAATGTAGAAAGCGCTTCATCTTGTGCTGTTTCAATACGGAAATAAGTTCCTGTTTCAAATCAATTGGGAAAGCATTTCGTATGTTGTTTCAAAATATGTGAAAGCATTTCCTTTGTTTCAGGGGAAAGTATCTCCTCTGTTGTTTCAATATGGGATAGCGGGTTCGATGTTTCCAACAAGGCGTGGTCTTATTCAAAGGCGGAGTCCGTGTCCAAGTCCGTTGACAATTCTGGCTCGAGTGTATTAGGTACAGCGGTAACAGGCTCTATCTCTGCGGCAGGCGCCTCTACAGATGGAGATTCTCTCTTTGCGGGGGATATTCTGTGCTTTCCTGAGAAAACAAATACGGAAACGTGTAACGTTAATGCATGGTTGGCATGTGATACGGGATATAACAACCCTAATAGCCGCGTGATATTCCTATTAAAACCGTTGTCACCCTATCCAAGAGTAATCGACATGTTATTCCTGCTGCCAATATCAGTAAATTGTCAGGCAGACAGTTGATTAGAACAGAGGAAGTTATCAACTACTTAATACATTATTTATAAAACATTTTTGATGTGAAGTTTATATGAAATAATTTATATATGAACTGCGGTTGTAGATGAAAGTGAAGAATGATCATCGCAGTTAATTTTCCAATTTAAGCAATTGGATAGAAGAAGCCTGAAAAAATCAGGGCTTCAACGGGATTCGAACCCGTGACCTCCGCGATACCGGTGCGATGTTCACATTTTTCGTGTTTCTCTTGGGTTACAGAAACCTGAGTGGAAGTTTGGGAGAACGAGAAATGCTGTGGGAACACGAGACTAGGGCAAATGTTTCCACAGTTTTTTCGAGTTTTCCCAAACTTTTAAGAGTGTTTTTATAACTTGTTAGCATAAATCCACTAGCGTTCTATAGTGAATCCCGTTCTCTTATTGGATTCGCAACTCGTTATCTATTCTGTTGTAGATAGTGAGTAGCCTGGCAATGTGCGGTTGCTAACAAACTGACGGCCACTTTTTTGCGTTTACGAAGTGTTTGGGAAGAGGATTAGATAAAGTTTTGAACGACTGGTAGATTGGTTCTTAAAGAATTAGGATATTTGCTCTCAAATTCCATGTGACAGTTGATTCGGGGTGATCGTCAACTATCACGTAACGCGCGCGCTTTCTCACGGGGTGTTTTCTAACAGCCTGGGTAAAGCAAGAATTCCCGTTCAAGGGGTCTGTGGATTACATGTCCGCGAGGGACAAGCAAAATGCATAGTAGAAGTATACTTTAAGGTAATTCCAGTTTCACTTACCAACGCTCTTGCTGTCGTGGTGAAGCTCACTTGAACTATGCCGGATGTCGATCACCTTAACCTTTTTTCTCTGCGACTCAGCTCCAGTCTCCTGAGAAGCGCGCCTCTTGTGTTCGGGATCATGGACGTGAATTTCGTTCTGTGAGGCCAAAAACAACAGATTTTAAATTGCTGGCCCTCCCAAAATTAAAATTTTATTATCAGCTGAGGGTTTAACATTGACCACGCGAAAAATCTACCGGACCTAAGGGACATGTTTCTGAAATCGTACCACTATGCCAACTTCCTAACCGCTGTTTAAAAAAGGGACCTAAGGGGTTTAAAAAGGGACCTAAATTCAGCACACCTCTTGAGTCCATCCAGTCTCCTCAGGGTCGTCAACTTCAGGTGCTACGGGAAGGTAGTAAATCGAGTCCAAATCTTCATCGTTCTCTTCATCGCTGCAACATTTAACATAAGACGATTTACGCCAAGCATTCGAAAAGAAAAACTGAAATGTTAACCAATATGGCCGTAAACGAATGCCGAGCCGTAGGCGAACGTTTTAAATACGTTTCTGACAAATTCTCGCAATCTCTCTGAGTGTTTGCATCGGGCTGTGTGAACAACAAGCGGCCGTTTTCTGCTTTGTTATAAAACAACGCTACCAAGATACAATGATACTTCATAACCGTGTTTACATAGCTTCACGTAAAACGACTACACCACCAATCAGAGCGCGCTTTTCATGAACGCAATGTTATAAAAAATGTTGTTTGTGCCTTGTACCTGCTACACAGAGCTGGAATTCTTTCCACCGCACACACATCGACTTCATCCTCTTCCCCTGCTTCCGTTTCAGAAGGCACTTCAGCTTCTTCGTCCTCATCTTCCTACAAGAGACAAAGCAACAGTTCTGTAGAGTAGCTTTAATCAGTCTCGGGCAAAATGCTATTTTTTTTCTTTCAACTAATCAGGAGCAAACCAAAGACCGAAACCAAAGTGCATTTTCTCGCACTTGGCATCCGTTGCATGTTTTCCCGCGCTTGACGCAAGTTGCATGGTTCTGTTTCGAATTCTGATTGGTTCACGGCGCTTTCGCGTTTGTTGTTAGTACCATGGTTCATCACAGCATTACAAAACCGCTCTATGAGTCTTCGAATTATCAGATTTGGGGATCAGATACTGCCTGTACTGAGAAGAACTCGAGATGAACACATCCTTGGGTTTATGCAATAAATTATAGTCTTGAAGTTGAAAGTACACTTACTATGTCAAATTCATTTTCTTTCTCTTCATATTCTACATTTTCGTCCAGCTCTTTAAAATCTGGTGCAAATGCGCTCCAGTTTTCCTGTGCAAAAATACAAAGACCAACCATCGTGTGAAAACTATTGCTAACTTTCATTTTACTGCGTCTTTTAACAACAAGTGAACCCCGAACATCAAAACCAAACTAATGATTGCGTTTAACACAACTGTCAATCACAATTACCACGACAACCACCCCACCCCTTCCCCGAAAAAAAAAAAAAGACAAAAATGAGAAGGATAAAAATCCACTCAAACCCCACGCACGCCAGTTGAAGCAACATTTTTTTTCTATTTTCTAAGTTGTCCACTAAGGTATTTGACGACAATGTAAAACACAACAGCCAGTTTGAGTTCAGAACTTCAGAGTTCGCATGTCATTGGGAGGTGCAGTAATAGCCACTAACCGTGACGATTATCTGAACAAATTCTGTGCAGTCGGGTAACAAGCACTGCTTGTGGCGAATCTTCGTACACTTGTCAGAAATAGTTTGCAAATTGAGTGTTCAAAAAATTGTGACTTGGGCTTGTTTTCACATCTTCTCATTTCTCCTTGGCTCATTTAGAGACTGAATTTCTTCACTTCGCTGCCAGGGTTTTGTTTGGGTCACAGGTTTTTTCCCTTTCAAAAATTTTATTATTCACTTCATTCAAGCTTACCACGTGATTTTGGGCCCAAATCGAGACTACTCCACTTGAAATCGAGGCTATAATTGGTCGGATTGGGTGCCACTAAAGAAAACAAAACACAACTAAGTCATTCGAACAGGAATTGGGTTTCTACAACTATACAAGTACAACCTAAGACTCGAAGGAAATGCAGACAGAGATTAGGTAAGTCTGTTCAATCCTTTACATTTGTATTAAATAGCCGTTAAATGATTGGAATCAATTCTTTTTTCATTTTAAACTGATCTTGAAAACACCAAAGAGGTAAGTGTTATAAGAAACTTGGGCTAGTAAGTTATCATAAACTCATTATCATAATACGTCATCGTAGTGCCATGGGACGCATAAGGCCTTGTCTCATAACACAGCAATGTTATTAAGAGGATAACTGCCTTACCACCACTTCCAATAACAGTTCACCCTTAGTTCCATGAAGGATTTTGACTAGATTCCCAACTCCCTTCTCCCAGATGTAGAGTGCATGTGTCCGAGATGATCCTAGCACAATACAACACAGTAATCAGTGATTAAAAATAACCATGGTTCATACACTTCCAGTACTTTATAACAATTATGTGTTCAATAACTCCGAGATTAGACGCAAGAAAGTTTAACATGGTGATTAATGACTGTGTTTCACGTGATATTTGGCTCTCAAACCTTCAAACCTGTCCAGGGGCCCGTTTCTCAAAGGTCCCAAAAAGTTTTCGCACCCGAAAAGCTGTAGCAAAATCTCAACCCTTTTGACTACCGAGCTGTTTTATTCATATATTCTTGATATGAACAGAGGTTCTCTTCATACAAGAAGTTGCAGGTGTATAGTCACCTCTCTGTCTTTAAATAACGATTAACTAAAAATGGCTTTTTGGGCCCGAAGAGATTCCGGGCCTTTTGAGAAATGGGCCCCAGGATCATTGTACAGTGTTCTTGCCCAAGGCAAGCGCTGGTTGTCTCAAAAACTAATATCTTGAGACACCTGGCAAGTGGCTCTTCTTCCCACCCAAGTATGTAACAAATTGTTTGGACAACCTAAACATTATATATCCCTCTATGGGGGTATTCTGGTATGTGTGGTGGGAGCATCTGCTAACCAGGTCTCCACATTTGCACCCCATTTTAGCAAGGATTTACATTCAATATGATACCCCATCCTGGAAATAGGAGAGTACCAATATAGTCTTTTAATGCCACAGAGCGGACCTGTTCTGATGACCTGTTAAGCTAGATAGTTCATTTACCTTCACCAGATCTGTTTTCTGTGACTTGACTCAATAGGTGTTTAAACTAGGAGCCTAACAAGGCCCACTTGCTCAGGGTTGCACCTGTAGACTGCGAGCAGTCTCTCTTTTCCTTGAAAATCAATGGGGAAGAATGCGAAACAAGTAAGTGTGCGTGCGTGACTGTGAGCATGACGTGTGAGTGGTGATGCCACAAGCTGCTAGTAGCGTGGGCGTCGGAGGACAGACTAGTAGAATTACTCTGTTACCAGAGTGCCGGGCATCCAAAACATTGTATGAAACCATTGCAGTCTCTCTTTTTGCTTGTCTTTCGACGCTACTAGCTACTTGCACATCACTCTCACAGTTACCCTTGCACGCTTACATGTTTTGCGTTCTACCCCACAGATTTTCAAGGGAAAGAGAGGCTGCTCACAGTCTGTTGTGCCTGGAGTTGAATTAACAGTATCAGTACAGCAGTAAGAAACATGAAACTTACCTGCACAGATATATTCTCCATCACCCGAGAAACAACATTTTTTCCACAGTGTTCTAGTAAAACAATAATGAGATCAGGAGTAAATTGGTGCACCACAATGTACCAAGGGAAAACTCTTAAGGTGATCACATAAACAGAGTGATTTTCAATTGAGTCTCAAAAGTAATTAGGTAATTACTTTGGTTTTGGTTTTGGTTAACACCATTTTACTACAGTTTGAGACTGGCTGAGTACTCTAATTGGTATTGGTTTTACAACACTCAATTGAACTCCACTCTGTTATTCAATGGGGTTCAGAACAGATGAGTTCATTTCATATGCTTCTCAATATTCTTCACCTAATTTTCAATTGGCTTGCTTGCAAAACTAATATTTACATGTAAGACAAACACACTACAAACTTATTCAGTAAATTTATGATCACCACTTCATGGAAATATGGTGGCCTCATAAACAAACATTGGAGTTATTAGCAGATTGGGCTACAGATCAAGCGACCCAGGTTTAAGCCTGGCTATGGGATCATTGTGTAATAATATTGTTGTGTTGGTGGACAGGACACTTTCCTCCTGTAGTGTTTACAAGCCTAACACTAATCCGGCATTAAATGATGATCAAGGTTTTAATTTTTCCTGTATAAAGTGGCTTTTACTGCTAATGTTCTGTGAAGTTGAGGGCAGTCACTATCAAAACTGGAGGAAAAAAAAATACAGAAAACCTCAAAATTGATGCTAATCCCAGATTAACTTTTAAGCTAATTAAAATTGCGCCATGTATAAATGGGTACTACAATGGTCTAAATGGGTACTGGTAACAACAAACTGTTTTGAAGGGAATTCCGGAAAAAATATTGTGGGCTAGTGTGTGATGGAAAACCAATACTTCAATTAACAATCACCTGTTAACAAGATCTTGAAGTTTCTGTATTGGCTCAGGTTCCGCTCCTTCAGTTCCTCTGCATGATAGCACAATCTGACTGTCAAACACCCTGATTATTCTGTCCTGTGAGTTTATTAGGAAAGCACTGCAACAAAAAAGGCAAGGTCATGTAAAGATGATGAGAACATGCAATGACTGGCATGTAGACCACAAGTAGTCCCTCTTACACTTAGTCTGTCATGTGTGAGAAAAATTCATGTTGGTGTATTGCAGCTACTTACCCCAAATGTAATGCACATTTTCTCTGGGTTAGCCCATACTAAACTAATGAATGATAAACAATTTTAGAGAAGAAGATTCATCAAATTCTTAATAAACATACCTGCCTCTTCTGGCAAATTCTATTGCCTTGATAGCTGTGTTAGCACTTGTTCCTGTTTGGATTCTAAATGATGTCACTACCTGGTAAATGGTCAGAAACAAAGACAGTCNCATTTTACTGCGTCTTTTAACAACAAGTGAACCCCGAACATCAAAACCAAACTAATGATTGCGTTTAACACAACTGTCAATCACAATTACCACGACAACCACCCCACCCCTTCCCCGAAAAAAAAAAAAAGACAAAAATGAGAAGGATAAAAATCCACTCAAACCCCACGCACGCCAGTTGAAGCAACATTTTTTTTCTATTTTCTAAGTTGTCCACTAAGGTATTTGACGACAATGTAAAACACAACAGCCAGTTTGAGTTCAGAACTTCAGAGTTCGCATGTCATTGGGAGGTGCAGTAATAGCCACTAACCGTGACGATTATCTGAACAAATTCTGTGCAGTCGGGTAACAAGCACTGCTTGTGGCGAATCTTCGTACACTTGTCAGAAATAGTTTGCAAATTGAGTGTTCAAAAAATTGTGACTTGGGCTTGTTTTCACATCTTCTCATTTCTCCTTGGCTCATTTAGAGACTGAATTTCTTCACTTCGCTGCCAGGGTTTTGTTTGGGTCACAGGTTTTTTCCCTTTCAAAAATTTTATTATTCACTTCATTCAAGCTTACCACGTGATTTTGGGCCCAAATCGAGACTACTCCACTTGAAATCGAGGCTATAATTGGTCGGATTGGGTGCCACTAAAGAAAACAAAACACAACTAAGTCATTCGAACAGGAATTGGGTTTCTACAACTATACAAGTACAACCTAAGACTCGAAGGAAATGCAGACAGAGATTAGGTAAGTCTGTTCAATCCTTTACATTTGTATTAAATAGCCGTTAAATGATTGGAATCAATTCTTTTTTCATTTTAAACTGATCTTGAAAACACCAAAGAGGTAAGTGTTATAAGAAACTTGGGCTAGTAAGTTATCATAAACTCATTATCATAATACGTCATCGTAGTGCCATGGGACGCATAAGGCCTTGTCTCATAACACAGCAATGTTATTAAGAGGATAACTGCCTTACCACCACTTCCAATAACAGTTCACCCTTAGTTCCATGAAGGATTTTGACTAGATTCCCAACTCCCTTCTCCCAGATGTAGAGTGCATGTGTCCGAGATGATCCTAGCACAATACAACACAGTAATCAGTGATTAAAAATAACCATGGTTCATACACTTCCAGTACTTTATAACAATTATGTGTTCAATAACTCCGAGATTAGACGCAAGAAAGTTTAACATGGTGATTAATGACTGTGTTTCACGTGATATTTGGCTCTCAAACCTTCAAACCTGTCCAGGGGCCCGTTTCTCAAAGGTCCCAAAAAGTTTTCGCACCCGAAAAGCTGTAGCAAAATCTCAACCCTTTTGACTACCGAGCTGTTTTATTCATATATTCTTGATATGAACAGAGGTTCTCTTCATACAAGAAGTTGCAGGTGTATAGTCACCTCTCTGTCTTTAAATAACGATTAACTAAAAATGGCTTTTTGGGCCCGAAGAGATTCCGGGCCTTTTGAGAAATGGGCCCCAGGATCATTGTACAGTGTTCTTGCCCAAGGCAAGCGCTGGTTGTCTCAAAAACTAATATCTTGAGACACCTGGCAAGTGGCTCTTCTTCCCACCCAAGTATGTAACAAATTGTTTGGACAACCTAAACATTATATATCCCTCTATGGGGGTATTCTGGTATGTGTGGTGGGAGCATCTGCTAACCAGGTCTCCACATTTGCACCCCATTTTAGCAAGGATTTACATTCAATATGATACCCCATCCTGGAAATAGGAGAGTACCAATATAGTCTTTTAATGCCACAGAGCGGACCTGTTCTGATGACCTGTTAAGCTAGATAGTTCATTTACCTTCACCAGATCTGTTTTCTGTGACTTGACTCAATAGGTGTTTAAACTAGGAGCCTAACAAGGCCCACTTGCTCAGGGTTGCACCTGTAGACTGCGAGCAGTCTCTCTTTTCCTTGAAAATCAATGGGGAAGAATGCGAAACAAGTAAGTGTGCGTGCGTGACTGTGAGCATGACGTGTGAGTGGTGATGCCACAAGCTGCTAGTAGCGTGGGCGTCGGAGGACAGACTAGTAGAATTACTCTGTTACCAGAGTGCCGGGCATCCAAAACATTGTATGAAACCATTGCAGTCTCTCTTTTTGCTTGTCTTTCGACGCTACTAGCTACTTGCACATCACTCTCACAGTTACCCTTGCACGCTTACATGTTTTGCGTTCTACCCCACAGATTTTCAAGGGAAAGAGAGGCTGCTCACAGTCTGTTGTGCCTGGAGTTGAATTAACAGTATCAGTACAGCAGTAAGAAACATGAAACTTACCTGCACAGATATATTCTCCATCACCCGAGAAACAACATTTTTTCCACAGTGTTCTAGTAAAACAATAATGAGATCAGGAGTAAATTGGTGCACCACAATGTACCAAGGGAAAACTCTTAAGGTGATCACATAAACAGAGTGATTTTCAATTGAGTCTCAAAAGTAATTAGGTAATTACTTTGGTTTTGGTTTTGGTTAACACCATTTTACTACAGTTTGAGACTGGCTGAGTACTCTAATTGGTATTGGTTTTACAACACTCAATTGAACTCCACTCTGTTATTCAATGGGGTTCAGAACAGATGAGTTCATTTCATATGCTTCTCAATATTCTTCACCTAATTTTCAATTGGCTTGCTTGCAAAACTAATATTTACATGTAAGACAAACACACTACAAACTTATTCAGTAAATTTATGATCACCACTTCATGGAAATATGGTGGCCTCATAAACAAACATTGGAGTTATTAGCAGATTGGGCTACAGATCAAGCGACCCAGGTTTAAGCCTGGCTATGGGATCATTGTGTAATAATATTGTTGTGTTGGTGGACAGGACACTTTCCTCCTGTAGTGTTTACAAGCCTAACACTAATCCGGCATTAAATGATGATCAAGGTTTTAATTTTTCCTGTATAAAGTGGCTTTTACTGCTAATGTTCTGTGAAGTTGAGGGCAGTCACTATCAAAACTGGAGGAAAAAAAAATACAGAAAACCTCAAAATTGATGCTAATCCCAGATTAACTTTTAAGCTAATTAAAATTGCGCCATGTATAAATGGGTACTACAATGGTCTAAATGGGTACTGGTAACAACAAACTGTTTTGAAGGGAATTCCGGAAAAAATATTGTGGGCTAGTGTGTGATGGAAAACCAATACTTCAATTAACAATCACCTGTTAACAAGATCTTGAAGTTTCTGTATTGGCTCAGGTTCCGCTCCTTCAGTTCCTCTGCATGATAGCACAATCTGACTGTCAAACACCCTGATTATTCTGTCCTGTGAGTTTATTAGGAAAGCACTGCAACAAAAAAGGCAAGGTCATGTAAAGATGATGAGAACATGCAATGACTGGCATGTAGACCACAAGTAGTCCCTCTTACACTTAGTCTGTCATGTGTGAGAAAAATTCATGTTGGTGTATTGCAGCTACTTACCCCAAATGTAATGCACATTTTCTCTGGGTTAGCCCATACTAAACTAATGAATGATAAACAATTTTAGAGAAGAAGATTCATCAAATTCTTAATAAACATACCTGCCTCTTCTGGCAAATTCTATTGCCTTGATAGCTGTGTTAGCACTTGTTCCTGTTTGGATTCTAAATGATGTCACTACCTGGTAAATGGTCAGAAACAAAGACAGTCTATACCGTGTAATATAAGCTACACACTGCATCATTTCTGACAGTGGGGAGCTTAAGTAAAGATGGCAGCAATGCCTAGGACAATATCTAATAAAAAATTTAGATCTTACATCCAAAGTTTGCAATATTTATCTATATTTGTTCACAGTGCCTATTTGTCTACAAACTTGTTCAAGTTAAAATATATTAATTCTAAAACAAAAAAAACAAAAAGTTAGTCCTCGTGGTCACTTACTTCATGAGTCTCTGCATCAATCACCAGCACCTAAAAGAAAGATGCAAAATTACAGACAAGTCAATTTGAAATCTTTAAACTTAAGTCTTCACTTGAGCCAAAGAAGCCTACCCTACTAAAGCAAAATTCCCATTTCCACAGCAATTGAATTGACAATTTCAGGTTAGCCTTCAGCAAACAGTTTGTTGGCAACCATTTATACAATTGGGAGGAGAGAGACACCATTAGAGAAAAATTTTTTTGCCTAAGAAGACAGCCAAAACCCCTAGCCTAGTGCTATAACCCTGCCTACTTGATTTGCACTAAACATTACAAGAAGGTCACCATGCTACTCACGTGCTGGATACATTTGTCCTGGTAGCAGCTGGAATTGTGAATTGAGGTAGCATGGCCGAGATGACCCACATTCAACGCATGATAATTAAGCCAAGTGCAAACCCCCACTACCTTCCAGGGGTGGTGAATGGTCCTTCAAAAACCATGGGTATTGCAAAATTTTCATCAAAGTTTATGGTTTATTCAAAGCTGGGAATGTTGTTGAAGTACTGATTTGTTTGCTTTATTTATAAGCTTAAATGACATCTGAATGTCTTAGAACCTGAACATCTTGAGCTTGCATTTAAAACAGTTTGAAGTCTCAGTCTCCCAATTGAAGAGGTCAAAATGTCTTGGGCTCACAAAGAAAAACGCTAGTCTTGCCTTCTTGCAAAGTCTCGAATTTACCATTCACCACCTCTACCTTCTAAAACTAAAATTCCACCACAGACATACATGTACATGTACCACAGCCCTACTTTTGCAACAAAGTCTAGCTGCAATTTAAATCTAGTACTCACCTTGCCTTTAGAATTCCCTGTGTAGATGTATTCTCCTTTTCTATCAAATGATGCCACAATGTTCTGTTCAGACTGCAGAAATACACACAGATCAATAAAGATGAAAACATTTGATTTCAAATTGTTTTCTTTCTGTGAAGTACATTTAGTCTATAGCAGAATCTTTGCTGTCATTGTTTAGAATTGCCTCTTTAGCAAATAAGTTTGTATAGAGAAGGCATCAGGCAACCGAAACATGACTTTGTATGAATTCAATTGACCCTAATCATGTAAAAAGCATAAGAAATTTGTTTGACTTTTTAGTAATAAGTGAAATGTTTGACTCTTTACCAGAGATGCAAACTTAAAAAAAATCAAAATCTGGGAGATCAACAATAATTTACCTTCTGCACCATCCGAAAAAGTTGTTAAATGTAGAGCTTCCGAAATTCAACCACAAAAATGGGCAAATATCTAACAAAGTCCTCCCTCCCCCCTTCCCAAAAAACATCACAGTTGGTCAAAGTACATGTAAGTGTGAAAGATGTACTTTAAGTACTTTCCTTAGCACCCAGGAGATATGGAGGTCCGCCTGTACAGGAGACTGGGAGATTTGCTCTGTATCAAACTCCTAGATAATCCACAAGAGTTGGCATAGATGTAGATGCATTACAGATAATGATGATAATGATTACAGATGTATTACCTCTCCACCATTTGGCAAGGAGAAGTGCTGTCCATCCAGCTTCACAAGCACAGGTGCATGTTTCATAGGACAGACAAGGATGATTTTACTGGAACAGGAACAAAAAGAATTTCAGATATCTATTTAGACAGTCTTTTTCAAACAAGTTAAACTCACTACTGAACTGCAAACCACTATATCAAAATTGTTTTTATTTATCTCATTGGCTTACCAGTAGTGCACCGTAGGCAAAGGTAAATGTTTTACCACACTTGTCAGAAACTTTGGACTTGGCCAATTACAATATATTAATTAATTAATTAATTAGAAATTCTAACATGCCCCTGAGGCTCAGGGTTCTGGCAAAAACGAAATCACAATGAGGTTGAGGCAGGAATAAATAATCTCTTTTGCTCTAGTCCCTTACGTGCAAAATTTGCATGTAAGGGACTAGAGCAAAAGAGATGTTAAAATTCTAACACGACATTGAGGCTTACATTTAATGTAAGCCTCAATGTCGTGTTAGAATTTTAACATCTGAAATTGGCCTACCTACATGTGTTTTGTTTGAATTTTCTTTAGTCTTTTAATTTGCAAGAGGATCCACAATTTTGTTGCAACATTGCAAGTTAATTTACACATTGCGACATTTTACACTTGTCTGAGTGGTGATGACACTCCAACTTATTATTACAGTAGTGACGCAGGGGTTTCATTAACTACTGGTTTTCACAGGTGTTTTAACCCGATTGAGTAGAAAAAGGAATAAAGTTTCGTTGTAAATTTTCTGTAATGAAGTTTGTTGTTTGTTTGTTTGTTTGTTTGTAGTGCCATAATGCAAAACCAATTACTTCTAGTAAACGTTTGAAGTTGTCCTTCAGTAGCATATCGGAGTACATAGATATATTGATTCAATTGAGGCCTTGAGCTACTGTATTTTCATTCCGAGCACAGCATCATCAGGGAATGAAAGAAAATATTCAATAGTGTGTGATATAAAAGTGGTGTAGGTGACACAAATGAATGATTAGAAAGCTCGGAATAAAAATACAGTAGCTCAAGGCCTCATCTGAATCAATATATCTATCAACTACGTTTTAGACACTCACATGAATACCCCTCTAATTAGGAATTTTAATAACATTGTGATTAAATAAATATTCAATGGTTGTACAAACTTGTTTCTTGGATGAAACTGCACTTTGGTGACAGGAGATTGAAAACGGTACTTCTGGTCACACTCGCCCGACAAGACATCCCACACTGACACATTCCAGTCATTAGAGCCACTGAGCAGTTTGCGACCATTACGACTCCAGCTGAATAGCATGTCAAATTAAAAACCAAAACTCTTTAAAACATAGCAATGAAACAATTTCCAACTTTTACTAATAGAAAATTTTATTACTAACAAGGGTTTACCTAACCTTCTCAACAGAAGGAAACTGGTTTTCACAGCCAGACAAAACTGTTTGAACTGGACTTCTTTATAAGAAAAACATTCCCCCACATGGGCACACCAGGCAGGAAAAATCATCAATTTGCCTGGTGATGGGCCTTTACTGAAACCTCTTCTTATTAAGAACTACAATATAGATACGACCCTACTAGTGCTCTGATTGGTCAAAAACCCATGTTTTATCAGAGTATAAAACATAGAAAAAGCGTGTTTTATTGTTTTTGGCCACATTACCTCTATATCATAAAACAAATGAAGAAGTCTAATCCATGTATTATACTGTGACAAAACATTGCGGACATTTGAGAACACTCGAGAAATGTTGAAAACACTCACCTGCGGCTCATGTTTTCTACGTTTCCCTTGTGTTTTCAAATGCTCTCACCTTACAGATTTGTTACTTAGTTTCTGTCTAATATACAATATTTATTTGCTTATTTCAGTGTCCACAATTAGTACAGCAGTACTAAACACTTCAACACTTAAATAAAGTGATTTATTTTTATTATTTTTTTTAATGCTTGTCATGTTTTATTACAGTGTAATACACGGCTGAGGTTTCTTAATTTGTTAAATAATCTTGTGTAAAAATGAAGTTTAACAATACATGTACCTAACAGAAGTGACAGGGTGTACATGGGCACTGATTATTTTAGCGATTCCTCTTGTTAGAAAATCCCAAATGACAATACGTCCGTCATTGCAACCCACAGCCAAGAGAGAACCTCGCCGATTGAATGATGCTGTTCCTGCAACACTAACTGAGTCTAAACTACCATCATACTCCTGCAATGAAAGTTTTAAAGTAGCCATCAGTCTCCAGTGAAAAGGAATGTACTGACTCTTATTAGTAGAATTCTACTAGTATATAAAATGAATGTAAATGCTGTAATCTGATTGGTTGGAGTATCATACACTATCAGCCATTAGTGTGCAGTAACTGCTACAAAATAGTGATGTTTTCTTGTTTTTCTGATGGTCATTAAAATCTAAATCATTAAATTATAATTTGAAATTAGTGTATTAACAAAAGAGTAACTGTCCTCACCTCAGGGTAGCTTTGCCCAAACGATTCTGAAAATGTAAGTTGGAACGAAAACTTGAAGTAAGAATATGAAACATCTTTGCCTACAATCTACTGGTATATATATTTATCATTTTACATTTTATTTTACAAATTTCATAAGCATATGCATAATTTTTGGGGTCCCTTTTAATAAAACAGTTATTCCACTCGCATTTGTTAAAGGAGAAGGTCACTCCAAAAAGCTTACTTTTTTGTCTTTGTCTATAGCAAGTAAACATTCAGCCTTTCCACTCACCGAAGTTTCAGCCTCTGAAGTGCCTGCTATCCTGAAGAAATTTGTCTCGAAAGAAGTGACTTCAGAGACCACCATTTTGAAACTGTCTTGGCAGCCAGGCTGTGTTTATGTGACGTCATTCTGTCCGACTCAAAATTGGCAGGAAGGAGAAAAACCTGCAACTGACTTGGCATCCTTCACAATCTATTTTTTTTTTTCAAGCAATTATCCACATCACTATCTTCAGTTGGAGTTTGGAGCGTGTTTGGTTCTAAATAATATGGCTCAAGAGCAGCCATAACCCAGAGTGGTAGTGAAAAGGTTCTTCGGAAATCACTTGTACAAAATCTCTTAGATTGTATGACGTCATGAAAATGAAGCCTGGCTGCTGAGTACTGTTAAAAATGGTGGCAATGGTGTTCCAATTTTGGGCTTCTTTGGAGACAAATTTTCATGAGGAAAACCTACACTTTAGAGGCTGAAACTTTGGTGAGTGGCTAAACTTAGTGCAAGGTTTTTATTAGTGCTGACAAAAAATATACATTTTTTGGAGTGACCTTCTCCTGTAAGATCCTTTTATACACACTGTACAATGGGGAAATTTTTAAGTGAACACTGGTTGGCTATAGTGTTTAAGCCAACTCTCCCACATTATCCAAGAGTCTTCCTAATAAGGACTGAATCTTTCAGTCTCCCATACGAGTCACCAAATCTTCAAGATAGGGAGAAAAGAGCTCAAGGTGTATTTTTCACACCTATTTTGTCCAATTTTTTGGTGTTTTGACTCTTCTATTAGATAATTTTTGGATATTTGATGCTTTTTTGAGGTTGAATCGGAGGAGCTTTGCTTTTAACAACTCTTAAAAGGGGCCTGTAAGGTATAATTGGCGACCTTCTGCATTTCAATTTTTTAAGCTTGACATCTCTGTCAGAGACATCCTACAAATACTAGAGTAAAAAACCACTGCTATGTAAGTGAACTTCATTTACACAGACTACATAGCACCCTAACACATGGAAATGAAGTGGTCATGTAATCTATATTAAGTCTCCATGTATAACCTCGGTTTGGAATGTTCTCCCCATCTCAGGCCCCCCATTTCAGACCTCCCATCTCAGACCCCCATCTCAGGCCCCCATCTCAAGCC